GACCACAATATTACTGCTTTCGTTTTCTGATCCTTTACTGGTTGATAATCTTCTATTCATTTAGTTAAAAAAGTTAAAGCTATGCTATGACTTCTGGCTGCTGGCGAGGACCACTCACCCTTCATGGCCATAAACTGACTCTGTTGCAGCTGCGGCAGTAATCGCTCCCACAATGCCGCCTATGACTCCCGGCATGGCATGTAGGTTATGGATTCCACATGTGTCCTGGATCTTCAGGTATTTCTCCATGAATGGCTGCGAGAGACGGAACAGTTGAAATGTTTTATGGCATTTTCTTGCAATGAAACTGTCACAATTACAAAACAAATTTTTTTATAATTCATTTAAAATCAAAGCTAACTTGTTCATTGTTTGGAGGGTAAATGTAAGATGTTTGTGTCCATTTGTCTGCATGGTCTGCATCTTCCCAACTACAATCGAGGAAGTGAGTTTGGCTCACATACGGCTTACCATTTTGCATGTATTGAAACTACAACACATTTGCATAAAAACTTCTATGATTGGACAAAATTGCAAGATTGCAAAGAATTTATTATTTGAATTTGCATTAATTGTTGTGATCGCACCTTCCTGGAGGGACTGGTAAGTACATTTTTATGAAGGTGTTTTGTATTTTCATTTAAAGGGCTTTTTTGTAGCCAATTGCCTGGATTGACTAATAAACACTTTCAAAAACTAAACAGAAGTTTATCTCATAATATCTAGAAATACCATACCGTAAGGTAGATGTATCCCAGTGTGGAGACGATACCACAGCAGAATCCTACAATTAGAGACCCATAGGGCATCAACATGAACTCCGCTGCAGTTCCCACTGCAACACCTCCAGCAAGAGTGGAGTTCTGGATGTGAACCTGAGAAATGTGCGGAGAAAATTAATCATCATGAAAAAAAATGTGTATCAGTTTGATCTCTCTTTATTGAGTGATGTGTTCACTGTATCAGGTAAACCAGAGTATGCAACCCATTAAGCCATTTGAGTTTGTTTAGGAGGGGCACAAGTCATGCATGTTAGGTCTGAAAATTCAGCAAAGTGATCCATTTAAGCTGACAAATAAACACTTCCCTATTATCATCATTATTTCCATTGTACATAATAGCTTAACTTCATAATGACATTAAAAAAAAAAAAAGTTCTGGTCGTTACCATGTCTAGTTTTCCATGCTTTTGGAAGAGGCTTGACATGGCCACAGTAGTGAGCACAGTTGAGGCCAAAGCGAGGTAGGTGTTGATAACTGCTCTGTGCTGCCCGTCTCCATGGTCTGTGATGGCTGAGTTGAAACTGGGCCAGAACATCCACAGGAAGAGGGTGCCTAAGCAGAAAGCAGGGTATACCTTAAAAATCTAGAGTACCTCCAGATTATAATGGAGAGTACTGTGAGAGGAAAAACAGCCTTATGTAATCAAATCATGCCCACCGATCATAGCAAAGACATCCGAGTGGTAGACAGAGCCCTGCAGACGACTGCTCTGGTCCAGGTTTGGCCGATAGAGCATCCACGAGATGGAAAGGCCATAATAACCTCCAAATGTGTGGATGACCATGGAGCCACCAGCATCTCTGGCCTTCAGGTATAAGAAAATATTAGCATTAGTAGAAGGAGCAGTACACACATTAGTTACTGCCAAAAGGATATTATGAGGGGTTTTCTAGGTGGCTGATAAACAGGGATTTCCCCCTTTTGGAAGTGTCAGTATTTTATGATTTCATACTTCTAGGGACTTTTGTGTTTCGCAAGTTTTGTGGCCACCGTAGTTTCTCCTACACGCTTCCCATCCCGTTCTCATTCCCAGGTCAGCAAATAGAGGCAAGCAGTGCACTTCACCACTAGATGTCACTAAATCTAATCTAAGTCCTTTAAATGATTTTAGATTATGTTTAGCGTAATCAACTGTTATTTTGTGTATTCTCTATACCATAAGAAGAATATTCTGAGTTGTTGAAGTGCTGCGGTTAGTCAGTGTCACACTATGGGATTACAAGGGTACTACTAAATTGTTACTTAGCAGCTGCAAGGTGGCATAGATTATAAAAAATAAACAATGTACCCATCTGTTTGTCACAGGATCTGGGCATAAACTCAGGAACCACAAATTAACTACAGTTAGTGTGTTTGATAAGGTGTAATAACATCATCATCCAAACCTCAAGATGTTCTTTCCCATTTTATTGTTGCAGCTGAATATATATTTAAAAGTGTTATCAAAAGAAACTGAAGTTATTCATTCGACTTACATGTATAAGATTTAGGATAATATATTCCTCCACGGCAAACAATGTGATCCCAAACAGAGTCAGAACCAACAGCTGGACTGGACTGACTTTACCGAGCACCGCCCCATAGGCAATTAAACAGCCCGCCACACAGAAGTCAGCATTGATGAGGCTGAGGAAGGAAAACAAAGTGAAATGTAGGGGACACACAAGGTAGTGGGACATCATTTGACTCCTACTGGCCAAATATGTATGATTATATATATTTACTGTATTTTTTGTGGCTAAGGATGAACCTGTTCAAGAACTGAGAACCAACTAAGGCTACATTCACAACGGCACAAATCACATGGGATATAATCTTCTCAGTTCTGATTTGGGCCCTTTTTCATATGTGGTCCAAATCAGATACAGGTCTGATTTTTTGCAGTGTGACTTCAGTGTGAACAGACTTATCAGAATTCATGAGTCATTCGTCATACAGGTCACTTCAGGACCGTGACCTGTTCACACTGAAATCCAATATGGGCCATATTTTAAAAATATTAACAGCCAAAAAAAAAAAAAAATCTGATTTGAGCAATAACCAGAATTGATAGCTAAGGCTTGCAGTGTGGCCATAGTCTGAGTACACCTATTCCAGAACAACTGTTATCTTAAAGCAATGATAAATGTATCTAGTTAGTTTTGTTTTGCTTTGCTTTATCACCTACACATATCATACCTGTTGACACAGTGACTTGGAAGTACGTCAGCAGTATCATTTCTCATCGTTTTCTGTTTACCAACTACCCAGTGTCCACAAACACTGAATCTATGTGCCTAGAAATGTCTTTGTGGGATTGTGACAGTCAGACTGGTTCCTCCACCTGACTCTGTATCCCCATTTCTAAGAAAACCATGCAGGTACAGAAACATATTCCCATCATACATATTTCCTAGTAATTAAACAAAAGAACCAGAGCTGAATAACATAATTTGCTTCAGTTGGTCACAGTTTATATAGATTACAATTGAGCCAGGAGTTTCTATCCTGAATAGGATATGAAGAAGGGTCCTTTTAAGTAATACAAATAAAACAGAAGAATTACTTTTCAATTCCAATTTTGATCTTTCCATCAGTGTAGTCTAGGGAGTGGAACCAGCCTTGCATTAGCAGTGCCCATTGAAGTCCGAAGGCTGCAATGAGGAAGTTGAAACCCACGGCACCGAAGCTGTACCGCTTAAGAAATGTCATCAGGAAGCCAAATCCAACAAAGATCATCACATGGACATCCTGGAAACCTACAGGGCAAATACAGAGGAAGGGAGAGATGAGGAGGATAATTACTGTGTTTCCCTACTGCACTGAAAGATCAAGATTCAATCTGTTGCCCTATTTATGTTGAGTTGGCATGTTCTCCACTCATGGGATGTCTTTCTTCCCACGGACATGCAGGTTTGACAACTCGAGTAAAGACCCTCTTTGGGGTAGTGCTGGAAACCTGTCTATTACTGGGTTGACACACTGCCCATGGTTTGCTGGGAGAGACCTCTTGTAAGAATGAATACTTATTATATTGATCAAGGAAAAAAACAATAAATGCGAGAAATAAGAGAGAAAAAAGAAGGCAAGATGAAAAGTTTTTCAAATGCAGTTAGCTTACGGTATGGAGGTCCATATCCAATCAAATCGATCAAAATACATTCTTGGCTTATCACAGCTTTATCTCTCTGCTTGCTGGAATATTTTTTTCCAATATGAAAGAAAAGAGAAGAAAAAAACCCATAAAACATATATAATTAAATCATAATTATATCCAATGTTGTCGGCATGACATTACAGTGTGAATTAAATTTAAATAAGCACTGAATTAATGAATATGCCAGACAGTTTGCTTTGACAACACGTCTAAGGAAGCACATGAGGATATAAGAATGGGAAATCACATGAAGATGACTCATGGAAATGACGCGTTTACTGTTTGCTGATTAGATGTTGACATATTATGATGATACAGAGTTATATTAATGTACTTATACAGGTACCATTCTCTAGCTTCCAGGAACTAAACTTATCTTTGAAATTACATTTAGTTTTAACATTTTTAGTTTTTTGTTACAGCATTCATGAAAATAAATGTACATATACATTTATACAACTATACAGACATAGCTGGATGCATAATAATATGCACATAAAATACTAGGAGTAAAAAAGAACTGTTGCTGTTTCCAAAGTCAAGAATGAACCCCCAAGCTCCAATATAATAACAATAACCATAATAAAGACACACAGACAACAGAGTGGTAACAAAGAGCTTGATCTGTTGTTGAAAGTGTTTGACCAATTCTAGAACAGGTGACTCTCTAAATATCTGCTATAACAGGCAAACAGCAGTATGTGGATACCAGCATAAACCAGCCAGTATCATTTAACGCTGTGACCGCCCGACACACCTCAGGGCACAATAGGTTCCCACTGCACTGTGAAACATTATAGTTTGCAGGATTAGTGAAACACATCCCAAATCATATCACATCAGTCAGACTGTACTTTTTGCAGTACAGTTCAGACATTTCCGACTGTAAACACCGACTGTGGGTGTTGTGTCTAAGGAGTCAGATCGGTCCCATGACTTTAGGATGAGGTCTTATTGGTCTCCTGATAACAAACTGTGTCAGGATATACATTTATCATCTGACATCCAACACCATATCTGAGATGGCTTCATGATAACCTGACACCGACACCATGGGTTGTTGGGGAAGTGTGCAGTACAACCACACCCATACTGTGCACTCACACCATACCCCAAATTACAGACAGACCTACTGAGGTACAAAGGGGTAAATGTTGATATGTCAGCTTCATTCAAACTGGAAAGAAAAGCCTGAGGGGAGTCAAAACCCAGGGGAAATGTGCACCTGTGGGCGTCAGATCCTTGTCAGCAATGTAGAAATAATGTGATCAACACAGTCTGAGAACTATCATAAACATGGTAACTCAAGTAGAAACACATTTTACTACTATGAAAACATACAATTTACAGCCAAGTATTAATAGAACTATAAAACAAAACGACAAATGTGAAGAAATGTGGATGAATAAAGATATAGATGTTTAATTTAAAGAATAAAGTCAGTGTATAAATATTTAAGGGTTGCTAGTAGGGGTGAACATTTATCGTTTTCTGATCGAAATTGCGATTTCAGACAACGCGAGCATGTGTTCGCCAAAGCTGCGGTTTTTGCAGCGCTCCTGACTGACCCAGGATCTGTTGTGTCAACTATTTTACACATACATGCC